GAATCTAGAAAACACAAGATTCCTGGCATAAAGCAACGGTAGGCAGACATTTTAGAAGTCAAACCACAAGACAATGAGAACAGGAACAAATGTTAAACATCACAGACTTATGGAAAAGGACTGAGAATATTTGCCACCTGAAAATGAAGAATTTCCCCAAATCAAAAAAGTCTAAAATATCCAAAAAGTGTGTTAAAAAAACAAACACACTGATTACAGACTATGCACAGGCATCACCTACCCAGTACAGGTGGTGATTTTGCTCTTTTTGTCAGTTGAAGAGACTTATTTTTCCATCCATATATTGAAAGCATACATTTGCTAGCAGATGAATCAATACTGCAAATGTTACTAGTACTTTGAAGTTCACAATTAAGGGATCTGGGAAACAGCCTTCCTAACTCAATGATATCAAGGCCTAATTTTTATCCCATATTCTATTTGCAAATGTGGCTGGATCATAGCTTCGCCAGGCATAGACCAGAGAATAACTCAACAGCATCCATACTAGACCTTACCAACTAACTTTTACACGTATACCAAATGCTACAACTAGTCATTAGCAGATACTCTTCTACATGAATAAAAATGTCATCATCTGCTACAGATACTTTCCTGAACAGCTACACACCTTTTGATCTTTTTACATATAAATAAGACAATTCAACACTATGGCAGTAACAATTTCAGTAAGCATTTGAGTGTGCTATAGAATACAGCATTTTATTTTCAAAACATGCTTAATCCAAAGGAAGAATATATCTAAGCAAATGCAGCAAGTACTGCACAGCAGAAGTTTGTGAGAATTTACTGTAACTGCACACTAAATACTGAAGTTTATGTTGTTCAACACACTAAACGCATTGCATCTAGCTGCAGAGAGAACTGTTTCTCCAAAAAATAGGTTGACTATTAAGTTTTCTAGAAAGTCATCATTTATTCAATGCAAATCTGAAACCTTACACAAAATCACTCTCAAACACCCCGTCAATACCAGAAGATCCGGAAAACCTACAATATTGTAACGCCCCGAAGTTTTCATGTCCGAAAAGAGAAAACGAACAAAAACAGCCCCCCCACCGTTTACTTCAAACTCTTGCCTACTTCTAAAGCTAAGCTGCCTCTAGGAAATAAACAAACAGAAAACTCAAAACCCAGAGAATTTACCTAGTGAAGTCCCTTCCAACCTGAGTTATTTCATGTTATGATTAAAATCATTATTTCCCTAGTGCATGTAAACAATGTCATTGGGAAGCAGGACACACACGATGTTGTCATAAATGCTAAAATTTTGGGAAGTAAAGAGACCGTATGTGACAGTTCTCTAAACAGCCTATTATCACTTTGTCATACCTGCTAGAGACTGACACAAAAATAAAAACAACCTTCAGGAACTCAAGATTGATAATAAAATAATCTGCAAGTTGGAACAGACTCCTCCCCCCCCCCCATTTCTAAATTAGAGAGAGACTTGGGCAACACAAAAATATTTTCCCGTCTTCTCAAGCAAGACATGATTCAATTATAACAGAGGGAAACCAAAAAGCACTGCTAATTACTGCAGCGTTCCAAATCACGCATCTCTAAGTCAAACGGACACATTTTTACTTAATGTCTCAGTACAAATGTCATGATAGGATTTATCCTGAAAGGTGACCGTTTACAACACGAGCAGCAACTAGAACTAGTCCCAAGTTTAAGGTTTTTTTTTTTTTGAAATTAGAAAGATTAAGATTTTTGAACTTCTAGTCATGTTTAATAGAAGCTGATGCAGCCACCAAGGTGCTAAGATCTCAACAACAAATAAAGTCATCAAGTAAAGATCAATTCCATGTTTTTCTCCAAGATCTGATAGTTATTGCCATGATACATCCAACAGAAAGATGATGTAAAGAATCACCTTTTTATGTCGTCCCATACCTACTGAGAACCTGTCAAAGTGGGTTTATAGGAAATTACAGAACAGCTTGCAAGGTGGCATGGATGTCTTCAGAAATATTGAAGAAAAAGATTAAACGTACTAAACTGTCAGAGTATCGTAACTTAAAAGCCTACATAAAGGTGCCTTAAAAGGTTTAGAAAAAACTGAGTCCTTTACACCGATTATCCAAAGCAAGCGATGTCCAAAAGCTATTATCATTACTGACAATTTAGACACCTATTTAGGATTGAAAAAGAAACAGTACACGGGAAGATTTGACAGAACAGACCCACAACCAAAGCTGACATTAGAACTCCAGTTAGCATTTAGGGGTCAGCTCCTTCAAAAACGTTTAGCTACGCTAGCACAATCTTCTCATCTTAGACCGTGGCTTTGTAAAACTGTTCTAAACAATCCTCTAGCTTCCCCATGAAATCAGCTTTGTGCCGTTTTATCCTTCCTTGGTCTCCCTAACCGCCTTCGCGCTCCACTAGCAAATCTCAGGCAGGTCTGAAAGGTAGAGCTCTCAAGAAGACATTTCGGAGATTTGCAAAAACAGAGGGGAGAGCCTGCACCAGCGTCTCTGCTGAGGAAAAGGAAAGCTCTGTGAACCAGCCGCAATGCGTGCAATATCTTTTTCAGGCAAGAACGCCAAATTAAAAAAGGCAGAGGACACGGGAGAAAGCTGAGGGCACTGCAGCGCGAGAGAGGCTAGCAGAAAGGACGTGGGTCATGAAGACCCACCTGGAGAAGCCTGAGGAACGCTTGCCGAATTACCCTTGCGTAGGTACCACAAACCTGCAACAACCCCCACCCCGAAACCCACCTCCTTGTGCAAGGAAGTCTTTCAGATCAGGTGATTTATTAATGCCTTATGAAAAGTCAGCTTAACTTGCCCTCATTTCATTTACTAACACCTTAAATTAGTCAATACACACACTGAAATAAGCTAGAGACCTTTTGAAATTCACATTTTTTTCCCAGGAACATAATTTCTCTGACTTCCAAAGTAGGATTTGGGCAATATTCCCTGCTCAACAAAATGAACAAACCTTTGAAGTGTTCTTGCTGAACGCCAGAGATCTCATACCAACTTCAGCAGCTTGAAGCAAGGATAGCAACAAGTGGAGATTATATTGGGTGTATACACATCGCTGGCGAGTAGAGTGCAGTCAGGAAGACAGTGGGAAACCTCAACTCTGCTGAGACTTGACAGAGTTTTTCATCACTGACTTTTAATGGGACTGAAGTTCGACTCCACAATGGTTCGATTTTTTTTTCTTTGAAAGTGTTATTTTGAAATTTATCTTCCATATTCAAATGCTAATATTTTTCTGAATCCTGAAGTAAACATTGTATTAAATTCTATATTTAAAGATAAGTTACTTAAGAGAAGCGATAAGACAGTTAATACCAGTTTTTGATAGCTCCTTATCAGACCATTTTTCCGCCTCAGCACTTCATCACAGCTCACAATTATAGTTTAATAATCTAGTTTAATCAGAGTAAACCTGCAACATATCTACCTACTTCCATGGGGGAAGAAGTGTTTTCAACACTGTTCCTTTCTAACATGTACAATTTAATTAAGGCAAAATATGACTTTTCATGACTTTTCATTCAAATGCTTTAAACTGGTTAATAAGACCAGATAGGACCAGAACAAGAATCAAATTAACACATTATCCTCATGCCAAAATAGTTGGGTCAATGAGAGGATTTAAAGAGAAAATAGCGAGAGCTATTAATTTGATGTAGAAGAAAGTGAGTAAGGTGAATTTCTTCAGACCTTCGGGGGAATGTAATGATATGGACAGGAAATGCAACTACCTGCCGAAAGCAAACTTCTTACAAAGTTATTTCAGAGAGCCTTCACAAATCATAATAGCAGCTAAAGATGTACCTATTACAAAGAAAACGGAAACACTTAGAGAAATGCCATTATCATGTGATCTCCCTGTACTAACTTAAGCACATAAAAAACATACAGCCTCTTATATTCCAAAAACCAAAATTTGTGCGTCTTATCTTAATTAATACAAGTTTCTACTACTTTATTGTTCCTCACAGCTGTCAGGTAGGCATTAACTTATCTAACAATCTGATCTGAGTAATATGCTGCAATTGAATGCAATTGCAGTGTTACAGAGGGTAAGAGAAGGAAAATTTCTCCTTAGCTCAGTAACAAGCATCCAGGCATGACAACCTGCAAAATACACGTCCTAGCTTTAATTATACAGGCAGAGAACTGCGGTCTCTGACAAGGGCTGGCTGTGATAGGATACCCTGTTCACAAATCTCCTTGCTCTGCTCTGCAGCTCTTCCTTCCCAAACTGAGAGGCTGACCTCCTTGGCTCATCTCAGGATCAACGGTCATCGTACTATGCCCCAGCTCCCCTACCTTGCTATTTGGAGGACAGGAAGAAAAAAATTTGAGCCTGCTCTCATTCATTTAGGACAATTTAAAAGCAAACAAAAACAAACAAACAAAAATACCCCCACAACCTTCCTTTCTTCCTCATCTAGTCATCTCTACCCCACTGTGCCTTCATCCCAGGCTGACACACTTTTCAATCATGTGCAAGATGGACAAAGTTGCTGTTCTGGAAAGGGATTAACTGTACAAAGGAGTAGGGAAGAAGCGAAGAATAGGGTCAAAAGAATAGCCCTGGGAAGTTATAAACCTAGCAACTTTGAGTTGCCAAACGCCAGAGCACAAAATGCTTTTCAGGGCTATTTATTTGGAATGGGTCTTGGAACGTCAAAACCCTGGATCACTGGCACATCTGCTACGTCAATGCAAGTTTTGCACATCAATCCGCCACAGGTTATGAGAGACAGAACAAGGTCGAATAAAACGCTTGGAAAGTCATCGGGAACACAGGTTGAACACAGATATCCCTATTTTTCTGCAATGAAGAGATGAAACTACATTGACAGGTGATAGAACAGTTGAGTAAATTAACGCCTATGCTTATTAGCATTGGAAGTCACCGTTTGAGATGCAGAGGCAGCTACGACTACTCGTTTGGCAACGGGTTCAAGGCACACTTGGCAATGTTTTTGCCCTCCTAAACAACTCTGAGATAGCCCGACTACACATGCCTCCAAAGGACGCGCTGTTTTGGACTGCTCAGACGAAATCCTCTCCCCCTCAGTCTGAGCGCTCACGAGGAAAGTGAATGAATAACTTTGTGATACTTATTTTTGGCCAGTCCAGCAGAAGCCTGTGACACTGCCATTCAGATCAATCTTTCCCTGCCTGTGGCTATAAATGTTCCCTCTGGAACGCCCTCGATTCCTGCCAGCGCAGCGACGGAGAAAATGCCAGAAGACCCTTGTCCCCTGGCAGCACCATCACGCTCTGGGGGAAGCTGTCTATTGCCCCAGCACCTACCCTAGTGAAAATGCGTGTTCAGTGTGTAAAGCTTAACTGCACAGCTGCTTTTTCCACAACCCAATCATGTGATAACAGAAACGTCCACATCCACCCCTACCATACCGCCTGTCTATGTCTGTCCTGGTACGTGTTGGGGGAATCTGGGCAGCAATCCCATAGTTTTCCAGCAGGCAACAGCAACAAGTGCTCGAGCGTAGCCAGCCGCATGCAGGGCAACATGCTCCGCAACAGCACAGCGCACACGGACCCGCAAGGAAACAGCTTCAGCCCAGCCACTGTCAAAGGAGAGCCGGAGGGATTCGTTCACAAAACCCTCACAAATTAGCTGCAGGAATAAAACCATGTGCCTTCCTTAGGCACACGCTCCCGCTTTTGGCATTCACAAATAAAGATACACCCAGGCCCAGAGTCTTCAAGCTACGCAGGCACCCAGCTGCTTGTGCCTTACCCTTGCAAAATCCCTTCAAGCAGTACTGCAGGCAGACAAAAGAGCCATTACGCTGGCCTGGTTTTGTAACTATTTGGCAACAGCGGCTATTTAAAAACTTGAATAGGTCATTTCCCAGGTAATTATTTTAGCAGTCCCAGGTCTGCTGGGTAACGGGCAGAAGCAGTATCGATGGTATTCTTACTATTATATGCATTTATATACACCACCAATGGCAGTGGTGTACATAAATACATAGTTACAAAACTGCAACAAACAACCCCAGGCAGTGGCTTATTTTTAAATTACAACCCAGACGGCTCCTCAAAGTCATGAACTTTGATAAAATAATCAAAGCAAGCAAGACCCCAGAAATTAAAAGCCTGAGTGTAGTTCTGTTGCAACACCCCGAATGGACAAACCCATCCTGGAACCAGTTTTAGTTTCTGCTACGTCTAAGATCACGTCACGTCACAATGACAAATCCATGTGTTCAAGTACAACCTAGATGAAGCCAGACAGACTAACACCCTTCTTGGTTACAGTGCTAAATACCATGGCTAACCACGGTGATGCATTCTGACTGTACTGCTAGGCGTGGGCCACCACGGTGTCATTGAGCATTTGCATTTGTGTAGTTTTACATGTGAAACCACATAATGGGTTTGAAAAGCACTTCTTGCTCAAAAATACTTCTAATGATTACTGTAACGCACTGTGTTACAATCACAACCCCTGCAGTAATGCTATCAAACAACAAAAACCTCAGGAAAATAGCTGGACGGCTTGTGGGTAAGCTAAAAAAAGTTCCACTTAAGACACTTTTGGGCTCCATATTCTTGACCTGTTTTTAATGTAGTTTTAAGATAGCACATTTAAATAGAAGAGTGAAGATCCTTACAGTAGGTTTAAGCTCAGGTTTTGTTACTGCAATCACACACAAGTGGATTTTTATATACAGAAAAAGACTATACAGCCAGAAAAGGCTATTGTACTATGTTTCATTCGAAAGATGGACTTAGAAACAGTAGGTGCGTCTACATTAAAAAAGGGTAAATAAAATGCAGTACTAGAGTACTGAAGCATTTCCCAGATTCCTGTACCTTGAGTAATGGAGAAATTAACGATAATTTAATTTTCTTTCCTCCCTCTTTTAAGAAATCTATCTGTGCTTGTTAGCTGGTAAACAGTTAATGTTGGTCCAGTTTGGATGATTCAGCTTCTTATGTCGGTGAAATTAGGCAGAGCTCCTGAGCGCTGTTGCTACCTGTCCAGCAAGAACTAGGGAATAACATAACTCTTACTACCACCAAGAACAGCACCATAACAAAACCAAATCCCTAGATTTGCAGCATATCACAGAACACTGGTAAACTGCAGAGCAAGTTGTTAGAAGTATTTTATTACTTTTCAACTCCCACATGCACAGTTTCTGCTAGGAGGGGAGAGGAAGGAGGAAAGGGTAGCAAGGAAGAAGCGTTCGATGAACTTAGAGAAGGGGTTTGGGCAGATGAGGTTTTTTTGTGCATGGGAGTCTGAATCACAACTGGTCAAAAATCTTGATTTGTTTGGCAAGCAGAAAACGGACTCCTCACTTCATAAAAGATATTTTTATTAGAACTGTTTGAGAGAGACATAAATAAGAAAATCAAATGGAACGAGCAACTTATAAAAGCTTCTGCAAAAAGTGTGAGATTAAAATCATTGCACACTTGGAGCAAGAGACATTTCACAGACTTATCTATAAAGCAGTCTCCTCTGACGACACCTACAATGCTAGTAGTTTCACAGAGTTATTCTCTGAAGCAAGTTGCCTAAGTGCACTCAGATAACACCGCTGAGTCAATCTATATTGACTCTCAGCTGGAAAAAAGACGTCACCGGGATCAGTTTCCTTCCTCTCACTCATGAGCTCCTGCCACTTTGGTTTTACCTGGGCTCTGGTGCTCAGACTGCACAATAACGTTGATTCAGCTCCTTAACCTTGCAGAAAACGAACCCAACCAAAACAAGGTCTCTTGGCAACTGAAGGTGCATCAGCATGTTGAACAGCAAACTGTCAGAGCTAGTGCAAGGGAGAGAATGGGACCATGCGTTCATAGCAAGAAAGAATAAGGTCGGGGCTGGCATTTTTGGCAGTGGTCAGCTATTTATTAAGCTCTGCTTTTTATCTTTATTGTACCATTACTTTCCCCAGACTTCCTATGGTCCTGCCTCTTCTTTCATACCATATGTGAGCACTGGTATATTATTTGTTGGAAATAATTATTGTAATGGAATAATTGTCGGAAAAGAATAATTATTGAAAAATAACTATTGGAAAAGAATCAACAAGGACAGGTAAGCCTCCAGAAACTTCTGTTTTCAAAGAACTGAAGAGTTAAAACAAGTTAGCCAACCAACAAGTTTAACACTAGTTAGAACAACAGTATGCCTAAAGGTATTTAAGCATATAGGTTATACACGCGCTTACGTTCTTCCAAGACTTGATCACCACCTCCAAATCCTTTCAAACATTTTAAACCTCACCTAAGGTATTTGAGTCCATGAGCCATGTAAAAGCTTAGTGCTACAGCGGGGGACCCGAGAGCAAAATCCCAGTCTCTTTAGCACCAGCCTTCAAAAAGAGCCCCGGGAAAACCTTGACTTGGAAAACATAGAAGTTGCAACAAGCCACTTGCTGCTGTTCATTTGGAGAAAACTCCTACAACTCCACAGTATCAAAACCCTGCTATTCCCTGCCCTCTGCCCAAACCTCCAGCTTTCCTAACAACTCCATGATACAGCTATTGTGCATGTAACAAAAGAAGTCTTCATCATGTTGAAAACTAGTAATGAAAGGACAGCAAAAATGAACAGAATAACTGAACATCAAAGGACTACCGTACAGACTATACCAGAATTTTCAAGAGAGTTCAAAGCCAAACATCAAGCAACACTGTCTCTCCCACTAAAAACACTTACTAAAAGCCAAGTGAACAAGTGACAAAATTACTCAAGTCTAAATGACGGCATATCAAACACAGGGTTACGAGTTGATTTTTCCACAGTCCTACTTTACAGTTATTTCAAGTCAACAAAATACTTGTTAGAGTTCTCATGTCTGGTCTTAAACTAAATAAAAAAAAGTTACCTAGAGGGATGGAAAAATTGTTTAAAAATCAGATTTTCCCCCAAACAAAAAAAATGCCTTTCCTAATCTAAAATCTCAACAGCTATAGAAATCACAGCAGCCACCCACAAAACGTGTGTATTCCCTGACCATTTACAGTATACTTCTGCTCCCAGGGATCATGTCCAGATCTCTGGAAGCATTTACGCTTGACTGTAGCATAAACACACATATAGCCAGTATGCAGTTCAACAAATACACATACATACCTATACTGGAGGTATAATCGGTGGCTCCAAAGATCAACTCTGGTGCCCTGTAGTACCGAGAGCAGATGTACGAGACATTAGGTTCTCCACGAACCAGCTGTTTTGCACTGAAGAGGAAACAAAGTAATTATCTTTCAGTAAGGGAAAGTTTTACAGTATTTCAGTGCAGGCCAATATTAAGCTTTAGTGCTACTCAGCCACCCCCAATTCCTTAATGCTTAAAGTGTTATGTTCTTCTAAGTTGATGCAAGCCACAGACGCAATGATTTACTGTGAAATCAGCCCAATCCATCTCTAGCAGCTTCCTCATATTGGACAGAGCAGAGGAAATTTTGACTACAATCTAGGGGGATAAATAGGGTCAGGCTTCTGGCTGGCAGTTTACCTATATAAAGTTTTGCTAGGTACAAAGGTTTGTTTATGCACAAAAATAAGAGGACAGAATATAGTTCAGTCAAATACAGTTAGTTACCTTTTAAGGTTCAAAAGCGCTAGGCAGTCACCAGAACTTAGAGTACTAAGTTTTTTTTCCCCTCCCCTTTAATCAGAACATTTTGACTCTTTGCTATTCATGGGAGCGTAGCATGAAGCAAGAGGGATATATGGAGACAAAAGAGAAAAAAACCTGTTCGCCACTGTAGGCGCATACGAATAATCCAAGATAAACATGAAGGCTTCATTTACAGTACAGAAGACCTGCCACAAAGGGCATAATTTAGAGTATTGGCCCAATCACAAGTGTATGCACCTTTTGAAATACCCTTTGTTTAAGAAAATAAAGGAACACAAGAGCACTTTACTTTCGGAAAATGGGGTTATGAACATGTTATATTCTTTCTTTCTATTTACCACCGCATGTCTGATGGAAAGGAGCTGCAGGACCAAACTGCCCTTTTGGAATTACAATACACGCATCTAACAAAGGAGCAACAAAGCCAGTGAGCAGCAAGCAAGTCAAATCCAACATCCAGCCTTCGAGATGTGCTTCTCTGCCTGCAGCGACGAAGGGCTCCCACCACTCATTTAACCTGTTCTAAAATGTCTCAGCTTTCCCTCCGGAACTATAGTCAACTTTTTACATTTTTAACAAGGAAAAACACATCACCTATTTATGCACTGTTACTTCAGGTTTTAGTGCAATACTTATTCTGTTGCAACACTTGTGAGGTAGAGCAGAGGAGGAGGCACCACGCGTGACTCTGCACTGCTGGAATAACCCATCTCGCATTCCAGCTCGTTGCGGATGAGCTAATTTAGCAACAGCCGCTCCGGTGACCTCGCGCCCAGATGACCTCCTAACTATTTTAGTCTGCAAGGCTATAGTACAAACTAAAGACTCAAATTTACCCCAGAGAAAAAACTGTTTCCTGCTCCAGCACAGGTTTCCAGAACCTCTGTATCAAGTTATTTTTCTTATACGAGAGGTGGACTCTATATATGGCTCACTTGAGCAGATACTGGAAAAAACGTGCCACTGGAAGCTGGCATGTAGAAGTCCACTATCTGAAAGCTTCAGTTAGAAGCACTGCTTCTCATCTTGAGCCTCTAAGGTATTTGAAATATTAGATGGATTGGTGCACATACAAGTAGACTAAAGCATAACATTAGCCTTTTGAGGTTGGTAAGCCATTCTGCCTGGCCTCTCTTCCCCACATGTATTTCACTCTGTGCAACCATAGGGTGAAACCCATAGGTATTTCACCATATTTGATTGCATTTGTTTCCATGGCACAGTATTTTCCCTTGCAATGGCATATTTATTTTTCTGAATATGCGCACAAATTGCAGGCTTACATTTTTAATTCCCTTCCTTTTGATATCCTTTCTCAGCTCCTTATTTACATGAACTCATCTTAAAAGGAAAACAGAGTACCCCTGATTTCCCTTTCAAAACTATAAATGATTAACTTCTGAGGAATATAGAGGATTTCTTTGCAAAAATTCCACTTGAGAGGAAGCGATTTCCCCAGGTTCCAGTGCACAGAGCCAAGCTTACCTTCCAAAGTCACAGAGTTTTAGAACAGCTGTATCAGGGTCCAGCAAGAGGTTCTGTGGTTTAATATCCCGGTGGCAGATTCCAAAGGAATGGATATAGGCTAAACTCCGGAACAGCTGATACATGTACAACTGGAACACAGAAATATTGCATAAAGTATGCTTTCCCAGGCAAAACATGACAAACTATTAATTTAGCACAAAGCTGTACTAAAGAAAAAAAATCAGAACAGACTTATTTCGCAGCAAAAAACCCTACTCAGTTTAAAACAGTGCGGTGAAGACGTGAAAGGCCTGGGAACTGGCCTTTCATTTCCTCCCGCACCTCTTTGCCACATAACCATATATGCGGGTCAAATCAGTTTTCTTATCCTTTCAAAAAGAAACACTTTATTCCAAAAAAAGTGGGAGAGCTGTCCAACATTTATAAACAGCCACAGAACAAAATGACGGTAGCTGTAAAAACACACACAAACTAGAGAAAGGTGTTTCAGTTTGCTTTGTAAATCACTCTCTATTAAGCTAAAAAAGCAACAACAGTGCTACAACTCAATGAATGGAATGTGCAAGGTCCACTAGTAAAAGAGAGTTTGCTCACAGGGAAACAAATAATATCCTTTCACAGTAAGAGGCAGCGAACAGAAAATGGATCCCAGCCACCCACAAAACACCTCCTTCACCTACCCAGTGAAAGGGGAACAGACCTGGAGCAAGAGGGGATGCATGCACATCTCTCTCCCTGTTCACCCGATCAAATGGGGCATCACCCCAAATAGAAAGTCAGAGCATGGAAGGAGCACTTCCCTTACCCCTCTTCTGCCCACACAGAGCACTGCTTCTGTCTTACCTCCTTCCAGCTCCCTCAATTTTCCATCCCCAAAGCACCCAAGCAGCGCTATGATATACTGAGAGCTTTTCAGACTAACTACAGAAGAACAAGACACGCTTTCTTTCTACCCAAATAAATCTTTACAATTAGTTGCAGCATAAAAATGAAGTACTCCATAAAATCTTCACCAACTCAGGTGGCTTTTTTAATTGTTTATTAGTGCCATATTAAAAGTTGCCCACAGAATATAGTAGTCTCTCAGCCAGTCACTTGAGTGAATCTCCCAGTTGTTCATGATAAAAGGACAGATTCAATTTACTCCACTCTGGGCAAAGGGAGAGCAGACAAGGACAGCAGCTTGGAATAACTTAGACAAGGCACAGCAAACAAGATGCTAAGGGAGGGTCTGTCCCCCTTTCCACAACGAGCCAATCCCTTATGCAACTTGGACTACAGGAAGGGGAGATTTTATGAAGCCAAGAACTTTGCAGGGCAAAATTACAGGGCAAAGCAACCCTGCTCAGATGCTGGAGCTACATGCTTTCACCTATGGAGAATAAAGAGCTGATGGGCATAAATAGGGCTGTAGAGCATCCAAAGTCATGAAGGCATGGGAAACCCTATTTCAAGGTTGGCACCAGGCAGCTAGGTTATTTCTATTCTGTGTCCCATGGTTCCATTCAAAACCAAGCTATAGGCAGCACGTTGTACTGGAGCTGACCCTTCACATTTCCCTTGTCTAAGAGCATTCTCCACAGTTCACTTTTAATGGCCTGTAAAACTAGGTGCAATTGCTAGATATTGGTATCAGGTTACGTTCGCCTCACTTGCACCACTATCTTTGTCTTTCCACTCTCTCCTCCCCCACCTTTTTTTGGGGTGGGGAAGGTGCGAGAGGGAAGAAACCTGCCTGAACTCGGCCTTGAAGTTTTCAGTTTTCCTGTTTGTTTCTCAAAACTAAAACTCTGAACAAGGAAAAGCAAACAAATACAGATACGTTTTCTGAATTGCCTGTTATAGACACATTAAAAATCCAGTGCGTGTGTGCACACATGTCAGTGTGCTGCAAAATAATTCAAAAGATTGTTCTAACTTAAGGAGTCAAGTCAATACCTGCAGAATTTATAAAGCACACCTTTCACCTCCCTGCAGCAACCCAGAAATTTCTTACAGAATGCTAGAAGTTACAAAGTAGTTTTAGCAAAAAAGATGACTGGAAAAGCTCCCTTGCCATTCCATAACAGCTTTTGTTCTCCAGGAAAGAGGAGCTGTCTGCCTGTCTAGGTATCAATCAAAAGTGAACAAATAGGTATGATCTGATCTTTGTGTGCCAAGAGGTTAGGAAAACTGCAAAAGCTTTAATGGCATCAAGGTTATGGGATCTCTTTTTAAATATAAGATAAGGAAAAAGGCTTGCCTTGTCAGAAAAACAATATAAAAACAGTCTCCTGGGCTACCTCGAATGGGAAGTTACAAGGTTCCAACAAGATGAAAGAATCAAAGCAGAATTTTCTCGCAAAGCATGAGTGAGGACAATTTTTCCAAACTCCCAAATGGACAGCAATTAGGCCAACAGTACTGAGAAGAGAGTTATAAATAAGTTATCAAATGCTAAGCTAACAAGCAAATTGTGGGGAGCGTATAATCTAGAAGACCTGCTGTTCCACTGACAGGCCAAACAGAGCAACCTTACAGCAGAAATTCTTACTGCTGGATGATTTTGATAAGAGCCTATGCTTTCTTAAAAAGAAACAATAGTCCCAGGTATTGCTGAGATGTACAACTTACAAGTTAGGCAGATATAGTTATGGTACAATGCTTTGTTATTGGAATAATTGCTTTTTGTAACTTGCACCTTCTTCAAATCAGATGAAAGCTTTCTCTTAAACCTACCCTAATGTTAAGCACTGCATATTTAAAGATGAGTTTGGGGAAATCAATATCAACTGGAAACATTTGTTGCAAATCTCCATTTAATGTTATTTGACTAAAGAGACGAAATGTCTGCAGATCAGCTCTTTATCACTATCAAGTTAACGCCATGTTGACAGCATGACCACTCACTAATATTTGGACTCTGTTCACCACAATATGCAACATGGAACTTCGAGACACAGCTGAGATGAATGCTTGACAATAAAATTTTAGAAGTTTTAACCCCTTTGTAAATGACGACAGAAGCTGCCGGCAACTGTAAAGTCAGGTCTTGAGGCTATACGTGCAAACTTCTTATCCCATGTAACTCTTCAAGAAGAGAGCAGGAAAGTCCATGAGCTCCAAGTGCAGGGAAGAAACCAATAAGGCACCTTTCATGCCCTCAGAGAAGCACGTGAACTCCTCTTACTCATATGCCAGGAAAGGGGGAAGACAACATCCAGGAGAACAATATTCTTTCCAACATCCTCTTCCAATTCTTGACCTCTGCGCTAGTTTCTTTATCAGCTTAGGAGGCTGAAGCTGCTAATATGGCTGGTGGCAGTTTCTACCTCAACTGTTTAAAAACAACCTCTCTCCACCCCCCCGCCCCGCGCCGGAGATTTTTGTAAAGGGAGAAATCAAGAGTGCTGAAATGCAAGTCTCTTGCCTCTGGTCTTCCTCCAGCCTAACAAATAACCATTCCAACCTTTTTTCTTGCCTCAAGACACATGAGCTCCTGAGAATTTCAGAAAGCTAATTATGTGCCTCAGAAAAGAGGTATCCAGAAAGTCCATTCCCATAATTTCCTTCTTCATCTAACCACATCTGTCAGTTACTTACCTTGACATAAATCATAGGGAGTGTCTGTTTGGCCCGACTATAATGTCTGGCAACTCTGTATACTGTTTCAGGAACATAGTCCAGCACCAAGTTGAGGTACACCTCATCTTTCTGAAAGAGAATAAAGGAGAAGAAAAACCATTAACAGAGAGAGATTTGAAGCATGAAGTACAACAAAAGCATTCAGATAATCTGATAGCTTGAAACAGCTGTGGACTTGGTGCCTTTTTTTTTTTTTTTTAATTTGTTTAAAGTGTACATCTTTAGTGGGACTGCAAACTATCACCAAACTTTTTTTCCTTCAAGCTTAGCACTTGTGGAGAAATATCTAAGTCAAACTTGTGTATAAGGTCACATTAATTAACATACTCTCTAACTTGAGACATTTTCTCATTATAAACATGGGCAAGGATATAGCTGGTCTGCCCACCTGATATGCTCATTAAGAGGTACTTCATGGTGATACTTTCATCACTAAGCTATCTATTAATCTGTTACCTTCTTCCCTGCCAAAACCCAAGAAGTGCAAATTTAAAATTCCCAGATTGACTCCACACAACTACACAAGAAAAGAATGTCTAAATGCCCTGCATCTTTTAGAAAGGTTACTTTGATCTTGCTGAACTCCTAATTCTCTTAAGAGATTAATAATTTACATTAACCATTCACAGATAGAAACCTAGTGTTAATATCTGTAACCATTTTGACAGCCAGGTTCACCCCACTTAAACATATGAACTTATTCATGGCAAAAAAACTACAAGATAGAAAACAAAGACGCCAGTGTGATTTTTAATATCTGGAATCACGTTAGAGAGCTGTGTGAAAGTAACAGAAACAACATAAGTAGCTTTCTAAGTAAGGTACTTTGTTCCCCCTTTCCCTTTGCCAAAATATCCTGTAACAAAAAGGAATTAAGTGACCTAGTACTACAATCACATAGTGCCTAATTACGGAACTGATAATTTTCAGCAGTAAAATAAGTCTTGAAAAGACTTCTGATATTTTAACGCAATCCTTAGTGCTAAGCGTCAGAACTGCAAATACATTTAATTATACCCCCCCAATATTAATTACAGTAACCTGAAAGTTTATTTTTGAAAGCTGGGAGAATTAAACAGAAAGTAATCTCTTCCGTGCTTGCTCTATTAAAACCTGTGTAGAAAGATGATACGCAGAGACTTTATATGGGTGGAAGCCATACACAACTCCCAGGTCTTCAATGGAGTCTCTTGTTAGCAGGTTTGTTGACTACATATCTTAGTACCTCTCAGCCTGAAAACAAACCTTATTTAGCTACAGCGATTTAATAATAATACTACTGAAATTTATTTAGCCAACTAGAGCACAAGAGTCTGGTGTGTTGCTCTCATAGTGTTGCTCTCTATATTATTTAAACCGTCTCTGCACTGTCTGAGCAAACAGCAGCAACCTCCAATACGTAAAGAAATGATGCGTGTTAACCCATAAACCCACACCTTGAACATGCAGCATGCAAAGAACCTCTGGTTTCGTGTCGTTGACTCAGAAGTTCAAGATTTCCCTTCATCATTATCAGACAATAAACGTTTACTTTCTGGGCATTTTAGTAGCTCTTCCCAACTCCCTACAATAACATACTGTTTTTGATATTGTTCAAAACAACAGTGGTCATTCTACCAGCACTAAGCAAGTGCCCCAGCGGCCCATTAGCTAGTATCTGCTTTGATTGCGATTTTGCAACACAGATGGAAAGACCTGCAGCCTCAGACCCCCCCACCCACGTCAGTGCCTATCCCACTGGTTTCCCAAAAACTGGGTTAGTGGTAGCAAAATCGAGAAATCCAGAGACAAGGATGCAGAACAGACTTTCAGAAATGGATGAGGAAAGATAAATATCAGCAGCACAGAGGACATATCAAAAGGCTACAGAATGTCATGTAGGTACAAATGTATAAAACATAGTTATATACACGTATTTTACCACCTTCCCTTCCGCAGCAACCCAAGTTCATGTCTCCTGGATTCTCAATGCAAGACAAACAAAAAATCCACCACCACCACCTCTACTTAGGTCAGATATTTTATATATATATTTATCATTAATACCCTGGAAATTGTGTCCTAAAAGTCAAAGTTAACTTAAGCCTGATAAGGCAACCTGTACACCAAGACAGAAAACATATTCCCATGAACAGGAACTCCATTCGACTCCGTCTAGATCCAGCCTGAGGAATACGCTGCCATATACAATACGAGCCTCTTGGAGAACAGAAAAGTCGTATTGGTAGCAAGTCACAGCACAAAGTACGCTATTACTGAGATTGATCACTTTCATTCAGAGGGTTCATGTTCCAAGCGACAAAGGAGATTTACATGAGAGATTACAGAAACGGCAAAAAAGGAGTGAAAATGGAATTATATTGCTTTCATTACTCTCTCACAGTACAAGTAAAAGGAGACGTGTAGAACAGTTACACATACAATCATTAAACCCTTTCTACACCACTCCACAACAGTGATATTCAAGAACTCTATTTAGTTCATACCACATTTGATTTACTTTCCCCTCCTCCATTTTCATTTTTATTTTCTGCTCTGCTGGAACTAGGACCAATTCAATGGCATAAAATGACATAGACACAAGAAAATGAAGGCATCTGAATCTAGAGACAGAGGCTCTGTGCCCACCAACCCTTAAGAGCTTCAACGCTTTCCACGCTGCTGCAGCTGTGTAGTGTCGCTCCTACATAAACGCGCATCGTCCACCAAGACTTAGGAACTGCAAAGGCACATGAACACCTTTCCTTCAGCCAGTTCTTGCTGTCACCTAGCACAAACCTGATAAACATGGACTACTGCTTTAAAGAGACCTCGCCCTCCTCTGTGAGCACGATCTGGTGCAGAGCAACATCTGTTAAAGTCACCTGGGTTCCCCTCATGCAGATTCAGCACGAGCTAGAAAGCAGGCCTGCTTGACAAGCTCTTAAGGATGACGTGACCTAGTTTATCCACCTCGTGCAGCCTTCCTCAACACATACTTTTCCAGTGACCCAGATGTATTACGCCTGGAAGCAGGGTCGGCTCAAAGAGCTTGCCAAATGAGGACAACTGCTTGAGGATCAAGAGAGAAGACTGAGGCTTATCTTTCCATTACAGGAAGCCTTTTTCTACCCTCACCACATATTCCTCAGGTGACTTATTTCCACGCTACTATTTCAAAATCCTTGGGCTGGGAACCAAGCAAGGTAATCTGTCAGTCAGGACCATGTCTGAAACACTTTTACAGAGATCCAGCAAGGTCCACAGGAACTGTATCATAGAAATGAAAAAGCAAATGCAAGATGGCATCAAATAATGCACTCTTCCTTTCAGCCATTGGCATTGAATTCGTTATTTACCTTCCTCGTCAGATCAAGTGTTTAAGTGCATCCATGTTTTCCTGTGCTTGCCACTCAGGCTATGACCATCTACTCTTTAAGAATAAAAAAGGCAGAGGGCAGTAAGCCAGAATTGAAATACAGGGTCAATGTATTTCATCAGGGCTTTGATTTTAGCAATGCAGCTCATTTCCCTGCAATTGCCTCTAATGACAGAAATTGCTTTTTGTCAGTTGGCAGATAAATCCTCAGTTGACACAAACGGCTTCTGAACATCTAAATGAGCCATAGCAAAATAACCATGGCCTTGTTATTGTACCAGCTGGTACCACTCAGGAGTAACCAATTCAGGTACCATCTCACTTTGTTGGCAGCTAATCTTTCTTTCTTTTTTTTTTTTTTTCGCTTTTTATCAGAAATCAGAGATTAAACAGAGATCATCTTGTTTTATGCAAAGGCTTTTATTATTTTTTTCATATATCTCACATACACTATACATATACATAATGTGCATATATAAAAGTGCAATCAACATTAGTCACAGTTTTTTTCCCTTATCTTTTTACCACAAACATGACAATAGAGGCCAGCGCATCCATAAAAGACAAACAGCAGACTCAATGCAAGGGGAAAGAGGATCTGAAGAATATGTCAGCATCTAATAAGACGTTCTTATGAACTGTCAGTTCTACCCTGATTCTAAGAGGAATTTCCAGAAGCGTGAAATAAAGTGATAAAACAAGGTTAAACTACTCCGGGCGTTCTTTCTTCTAGTGACTGAATATAGCGGTCAGCGTTCTGGAAAGACTGATGAACATCCTTATCTCAGTTTTCTTTTTCCTGGCAGGTCAGTAACAATGTGGTGGAAGCAGTGGGTTTTGCAGGGTTTTTTTAATTTGTTTTTTTTTTTTATTATAATTTGTTTTCCTACTCAGATGGTTCCACTGAACCAGTTGAGATATACTCCAGGTGAGCAGCTGTATGAGCCCAACTAGGAGGAGATTAACTACACAGGAGTTGCTTGAAACGATTTTGCATTCAATGAATTCGTAAGCATAGAACTGCACCCTGAAGTTACTCACTTCATCAGTTTATTCAAGCTAAGAGCATTCAGATTAGAGATAAACCTAAAATTAAGGAACATTCCTAAAGAATGCACTTCCCCTTACTGAAATTACCAAACAGCATCACAATAAGGGCTATACGAGGTAAATAAATCAGTCAGTTTATTCAAGTGGATCATGTTTTCTTTACTGTATTAAAGGATTCCTTGGATTTTTCAAAGCTATGTGTACGAATGGACACATTATTGACAGACTACTAGCTATGTCAGGCTGTTTCAAAGAGTGCTAAAGGATTTAACTTGGATTTGGAAAGGCAGACAAAGCCAGAACACTGATTTTCACGTTTCACATGGATTATGTCTTCTTTCAAACTGTGATACTCAAATACCATAGTGCTGGCATTTAGGAAGACATGCCTCTCACACTGTTTAGCCATCTAGATTTAGACAACATGGAAGGTTCAAAATCATAGTTTTTGCCCCAGAATCAAGAAAAAGGTTGTTTTACTTTCTTAGAGCTACAACCAGCATGTATTTCGTACATCCTTATCAAGCACAGTAAGAGATCCACCTTCCTTCTCCTATCTTGAAGGCTGACATAGTACTTTAAAGATACAAAGACTATGGAACTGCTTTCAAGACAAAGCAAAAACTTGCAGCCTTTCTACTCAAACTACTTAGTAGCCATG